CTAGCCGAAGGCAGCATTCACTCGAAGTGAGCCTTTTTCGCCTCCGGGTAACTGCAAAACCAGAGCAAGAACAAAGAAAATCTGAAAAAAGTCAGCACCGCATGTAGCATGGCATGGGAGAAGAGCGGATTCTGTCCAGCAGGCATGCTCTAGGCAATAGGTAGCCATGGTGCCACTGCTGCTGCTGATCCCTAACATACCATATCATGTTCCAAGTCAAACTCGTTTCTCGTATGTGTTGTTGACTTGCACCGTATACCTGCGCTGCCTAGCAGTCGTAGATGGTCCTTATGGACTACTTAAGAGTCCGATAACGTATGTATATAGGTCAAAACCACGCATTAGTTTGCGTGAGACCGCTTCTTCCCCTTACTCTCAGACGAGCCGCGGCTGGCCGTGGCGGGCTTGTCTTTCTTCTGGGGTTTGACGCTGCCAACGGCAGGCAAGGCCGGAAAGTCCACGTCGTTCAAGATACGACTTGTGATGGGCGCCTTGGCTAGGCCGGCGGTATGTTCATTGTCCCTGGTCTGCGCAACCCAGGAGAAGGCTGGCGCCGACGGGGAGGAACGCGCCGACGGGTGTGGGATTTCCGGGACGGAACTTGCGCGCATCGTATTTGGTTGATGGTCTTCGTCCATGTCTGAAATGCAGTCTGCAGATGATGAGGTGTAGAGACAGCTGGCCGTGCTATCAGGAGTCTGTGTGGCAGAGGTGCCGTCAGAGTAGAGAGGAGGCGAGCGCTGAATGGGGGATAGGGGCTTAGTGTGGGTTAGAGAGACGAGACCCGGCTCGGTCTCATCCGATTCGTCAACCTTGGGTATTTCCTCTTCAGCATGACAAGACGAAGGCGCTGAAACACAGTGTCTCGTGAGAAGAGGTTGAGAATCGAGGTTGGAAGAAAAAACGGCAGAACTGGAGCGAACCAGACGGCGCGGTAGGGTGCCATCATCCGGGAATGGTGGATTGGGCGTTAGATATATAACAGAAGATTGGTTGTCGGGAGCTTCGCCTTGAGACACGTCATCCTCGGCCACTGACCCTGGATCTGGAGGTACAGATGTGTGTTCCGCGGTGGTAGACCAATCTGAATGATTTTCAAGCTCGCAAGAGGCAGACCGATTTTCGCATTCCAACACGTCAGACACATCTTCAATGTCGCCCGAGGCAGTCTTGTCTTCATCATCCGCGAAGTACTGGCCTGGCAGTCTGACCCTGGGACGAGGCTTGAGAGGAGTAGCTGTTTCGCCATACCATTGTGCCGGTGCAGCAGCTTGACGTTCCCGCCGACGAGATCGAGTCTGACATGGAACCCCCCGAGCGTTGACCACCTGCTGGTTACTATCATGATGAGGAAAAAACGGCATCGCCGGAGGGCCGAACCATTCAGGCGGAGGCCCCACGGGGGGCGGGAGGTTGTAGAAAGGGGGGCCCGAGGCAAACGGCGGCGGGGGCAAGCAGTGGTTGCCGGCAGTGCGATTGTCCCAGTACTGAGGAGAGAAGGCCAAGGGCTGGGGCCCTGCGATGTAGTTGGGCCTGTAGCGGTGCACAATCTCTATGCCCCGGGGGTTCGGTGTGCCGTCGGGGTAGCATAGGCTTATCCAGGTGTCGCCCTCGAGGATGCCCCTGGGGAGCCACATGTGCCGTCCGCAGTTGGGGTCTGTGGTAAGGCGTCCTTGGGCGTCGAGCCTGCGGCAGGGGAGCCTATGCGTCAAGGTCTGGCCGTAGCTGCAGGGGACGGCCTCGTCATCTGGGTCCTGGCCGAAATCGACGTGGAGAAACTTGCAGTGTTGATAGGCATGGCAACGACCCTTCTGGTAGTGATCGCAGAAGGGCCTCGCATTATGGCGTTCCTCCTCATGTTTCCGGTTGCAAGGACCTAGGTAGATCGGCTCATGTAAGCCGACGTGAGTGTTACCGGGCAAACCATTGGCGATCATGGGCGGGGGAGCTGTATCTGGATATGGCATAGCACCCGGACTGTTTGCTGCGTGATCCTCCATCTTGTGGAAAGCGTTATGACTGGTAATGAGACGGGAGTGAGACAACAGCAGACAGGCTGTTGATGATAGAGCTGGTCAAGGATGGAGGGAGCGCAACGAGGACAGCCATTCTTGTGTGACGGAGCGAGAGGAAATATACTGTTACAATCACATTTCTCCGACTACCATATTCTCATCCCCAGATTGTGAAGTCAAATGGGCGAGGAAGAAAAGTATGGCCAGTGGAAGATTTAAAGCCATGTTGTAAGTTGATCAAGCGCGAATCAGATTCTGGTTTGGGCCATGCACCAGGATGGCAGTAAGGCGTAGGCTGGCTCTCTTGAGGTAGAGAAGAAAGATCCAGCGGAGATAGGCCCAAGGATCCAAACCTAGAGGCTTTCCTGAGGTTGCCCATTTGCGACATGGTGCTCGCCATGGAGGGCGAGTGGTTGTTCTTTTCAAACCCACCACGACGAGCCCGATCAACAAAACGCGTGCGTTGGGCACGCATTTGTACGGCTTGCCTCATGAAATTGACGGACTGGATTGTCATTACAATTACATAGGAGTAAGATAGGTTGAATGTCCATGGAAGACGTTGCCATTGTTTGTTGACCGAATTACAATATTCAGCCTGCCGCGGTGGACGGCTCTGCCTGTTATTCGTCCGAGTGGGAGGCCAAGGCGGAATCAAAGTGGAAAAACCGAATGTCAGGCGTAGTGGTCCGGTTGCAATACAAAGCCACCCAAGACAGAACAGCCCTGAGCATCGAGATAGGGAGATGGTGGCGGTTGGTGGTTGTCGTCGAAACCACAATGACCTGAAAGTTTAGGTAAGCAAACTCAATGCGCCGGTTTCGGGCGGCCGGGGCCAGCTGGGTTGGACGGTGTAGTTCCATACGGATGCCGGTTCATGGAGCGACGGGCACAGGTGGG